AAAAGTTACAGTCAGCAGATCATGAAAACTCCAGTGGGTCTGTAAAAATCACAGATATTCTTAAAGGGCCTTTGAAGACAGCAAAAACAAATAGGCTGAATATGGGTTGACTTCCTGATTTGTCTCCCTTCTGTTTAACAGGACCCACACCCTGTCTTGTTCTCTTTATGCTCTTTAATGGCTAAACAGCTACTGTGAGTAAATCTGTCATTAAGACCTTACCCAACTTTCCTGTTGGATGCAATTTGTGGGATTCTAACTTTGCAGACTTAAGGCAACTTGGGTGAATTGTGTTGATATGAACCAAAGCTTGTGCATTTTGAAATGTTGCAATCAAATAATCCCATCTGTACTTGGAAGCCTGCAGCAGGCTGACTTACTCGTCTTTTTGCAGTAATTATGGAAATGCCTTGGTATGGAACTACATTTTGGCTGAGCTAAAGCTCAGTCCCCACAGCTTTCAGCTCCCTTGCAAGACAAGATTTATAGAATCAGTGGAAAACTCTGCATTTTGCTTTTTAATGATTTCCAGGAAGACTGACCTCTTAGTGGCAGCATCTTCTACTGTTTTCAAAACATCTCCAGTCCTCTATACTTCAATATCCCTATAAGTTTCCAAGCTAATAGGAAGGTATTTTTATCTAGCTCTTCCCTGATTTTGGGGCATTTCAATTGTTTTTTTAAGTACAGGAAGACCAAAAGAAGGTTGCTGTCATTTTCCAATTCAAGCTTTGCCCAAACTCCTGATAACAAAATGTGCTGTTGCCTGGTTTCTTCCTGCACAGCATTGAAGTGGGACACAAAGAAATCTTCATCAACATGAAAAATTAAAGTTAATTCTCCCTGCTGTTTATTTGTACTGTATTTTGAGGGTATAGGCAAAGATCTTTTTTACAAACTGGATTTACAAGGATCTGGGTTTGAGATCTGAATACAGGTTGATAAGGGTTTTCTAAATGCTGGTCTCCTCTTCCTGTAACTGGTGAGGTTTGCTTAGTAGTTCTGAAAAATCAGATCCATTGCTAAAATGTGCTGCCAGACAGAATTTGATATCCATTGTTAAAGTTCATTAGACTGAAGCCAAAAAAAAAATCCCCGTCTGGTTTGGTGCAAAGCTCTTTTTCCCCTGAGTGCCTTTGGCTATGAATTCTGCATATTCTAATTTTAAAGTATCATTCATTTTCTATTTGGTGATAAATGCTTTCCTGTGTAAGAGTCTTTTGATTGCTCTGCTAATTAAAGTGGATAGTTTCCTTTTATGTTAGGTGGTTGGGCTTCTGGGTAACTGCATTTTGCAGGGAACAGCCAAGGTTACATGGAAATGTTTATTACCTTTGCTCTGATCACCGATGGGTACATGTTCTGCAGCTCCAAATTCTCAGGGAGAAAATGAATTAAGAAAATGAGGAATTTGTCATTTTGGAAGCTTTTTGGTCTTCCTTTCCTAGAAATGGCTTTTTGTCTCGTTGCTTTCCCAGCTTCATTACACTTTGTGAAAGTTTTGATGACTTAAATGGCACAGAGACAGAAGTGGGAATGGAACTTCCATGATGTCCTTTTATTTTTCTGTTCCCTCTGAGCCTATTTTGGTCAGCACAGATACTTGTGATAGTGGCACATGAAAGTGCTTGGGAGCTGACTCTTTTTGTGAATGCTGTTTTAGTTGCCAAATGACACTGTACCTTCTCTTCTGCACAAATTCCTCTCTCTTGATCTGAACTGCTCTGGCAAGTGCAGGGGACTTGATATGAAATATTAGAGAAAACACCTGGAACAGGACAGAAAGTGAATATCCATGTCCATTCAGGGCAATCTGTTCAGAGGAAAACCTCTGTGGATGGAGATACAGCTACTCCCCAGGCTGTTCTTCCAGGCTGGATTTCTTCTGTGGTGGAAAGTGGCCTCAAAATAGCCCAGGTGAGTATCTGACAAAGGGCATTGTGATAATCAAGAGAACTACTATATAAGCAAAACCCTTACCTGTGAATGGGATTACTGAATGCACAACAAAGGATCAAGGGGAAGGTGTGGAAGTTTTGGGATCTTTCTGGAAGGATGTCACCCAGATTTTCAGGTGTGTGTTCCTGAAGGTCTGTGAATAAGATGGAGTGTCTGTGTCAAGTGTGCACAGGGTTTAGGAGTGCTGTTAGAATGTGACATTGGGATCTTTAGCTGCTTTCATACTGTCAAGGTAACCAGGAGTTCTGCTGATGGTATGGAATGGTTTTGGTGAGGGGGAAAGCTCCTGTTGGATTTAAAGTCTTTGTCAGCTGATCTTCAGGAATCATGTGGTGCCGGAAGGAGTACTGACATTAAAGGCCTTCAGAGCCAGTGGCTAATAGGATCTCAATCTCAAAGGCATCAAAACTGATGGACCAAAGTCTGGGTTTAATCTTGATGACAACTTTTAAGAAAGCCCTGTCAATTGTCTTCAAGAGAAATTTGGAGATTTTTGGAGGCCTAGACTGCCTGCTCTCCTCTGCAGGCTAATAATCCCTTTCAGACCCCAGTTGCTCCCATCCTGAGTAGTGGCAGCAATTGTCAAACTTCAGGTCACTTCATCAAGGGAAGGCCACCATGGATGCAATATCTGTGTATAGGGCAGCTTGTTTCAGACAGACCTCTAAAGCCATAAAATGAAAATGCTGTAAAAGCATCCTTTTCACACTGCATGGGAATAGAGGAAACCCAAACTGAAACTCTTCAGATTTGAATGCTTTGATCCTTACAGGACTTCAGATAACCTGATCTGTGAACAATTGAATCACCCTCCCAAACTGAACAGGCTTTTGAGATTGAGAGTTTGAAAGGCAGTGTGTGCTGATACCTCCATAACCATGTATTCTGTTTATCATGTAAGGGAAAAAAATAAATCTAAAAATAATTTTGCCCTGTTATTGGGGATGTAGTTCTCTGCCTGCCCAGGCTAAGGTGCTGGGGTGGAAGGTGAAATCAGCCCTATCCTACAAGCAACCTTCCCCTTTGTACCTCCAGCAGCAGACTGCATGGCACACTGCATTTGATATAAAGCTACACTGCTTTGATTTGCCTACAGTATATAGGATTTTCCTTTTATAACTCAGGCAGTACATATTGTCTATATGATTTCCCTAGAACCATCTCTCCTGTTCTCCCTCAGGCAGAGCCACTGTGTGAATCACCAGCAAGATTAAGGAAGCTGCTGCAGTCTTCATGTTCTTCACTTCTGCAGATGTGCCCCTTCCTTAGGAACAGAAAGAAAGAGCTCAGACCTCAGGAACCTGCACAATGCAGCCTCCGGTCTTGTTTACACAGTGTTTCCCATTTCTAGGAGCTGAAAGAAAGCCATCACCTCCACCTGCAGGGGTGCCAGCACATTTAAACAGGAGGGATCATGACTCTTCCTCCATGTTTGGTATTTACAATTGCAGTGACAGATGAATGTTACTACATCTTCAAAGCCAGGACACCCTCAGGTGGGTGCCTTTGAAATTCCCCTCCTTACCCACTGAGGGATGGAGCTCAGGATTTTGCCTTTGGGCCATCCCTACCCACCAGCTGTCATCACTGAACAGTGAGTGACTTTTTCCACCTTGTTCTGACACCTCCTTTAAAATATGGAGACACCCAGGGGAAAAAACCACACTGCAACAGCCAGGAGTCCAACACCCTTTTACTCTGTCTGTAATGGCTGTAACAAGCTGCCATTCATTACCAGGCAGTCTTACATGGAAAACAAATGTTGCTCATTTTCCAGGTATCCTCTTGTGGGCAGGATGTTGTCTGCCCTGTGGAGGTTAATTTGCTATTTTAGAAGTGCCACTTCAGGGTAATACACTGCTAATAGGTAGCCAGCAGGTCCTGAAAACAAATATTCAACCAAATAATTCTAGAAAGCAGAATTTCTCTGGATATGATGGAGTCCCCATGAATTCTCCTAATAAAGCATTTTAAGGCTGGCTGCCTTGGTTCACTGCAGTCGTAATTCCAGAGCCCCTGTAGAGCTGATGTGGATCAGGGGAGTTGTTTAACAGATGGTTTCATTCAGAAGCTGGATAAGAAGAGCTGCTTGTTAGGCACAGGGCAAGCATCTGTGTGAGGATTTTTTGAGGGTTCAGGTGGCCTTTCAGCTCAGCACATCTCTGTCTGAGGCAGCAAGGTTAGGCATGGGAGAAGGGACTCAGGCCAAAATTCTGCCACCAGCAGGTAGAGGAGAAGCTCTTGCAGACCCTGGGGAGGGAGCTAGGGAGCTGCTCTCCAAGTCCTCAGCCAGGGTAAGAAATCCCTTGCTGTGATTCCCTGTTCTTATTGTGGAATGACTCCTGTAAAGTCAGGAGAGGCATTTTATTGTTCCTTATTGCTTTTTAGCATAGCCAAGGTCTGCAGCTTGTTTGTGTGTTTGTTCTGAATGACTTACTCCCATTGGGTAAAGCCATTACAGTCATCTGCAACTCTGCTCAAGCCAGAAAAGTTGGATTTGCACAAACCAGGCTCAAGATTTCTTGATCTTGTAATGATCAAGTGAGGGGTCCCCATGAGGATTTCACCCTCCATCAGTGAGATTTTCAACAGAGGTTGCATGGAGATTTTTGGACTATTCCTGCCTTGGGAAGTCATAGGGTCATAAAAGGCTTAGGTTGGAAATGATCTTGGAGATGATAAGGTTCCAGCCCCCTGGCGTGGGCAGGGACACCTTCCACTATCCCAGGTTACTCAGAGCCCTGTCCAGCCTGGCCTTGGACATTTCTAGGAATGACACAATCACAGCTTCTCTGGGAAACCTCTGCCAGGTCCTCACCACCCTCACAGGAAAGAGTTGAATTTACCTTCATACAGGTGCGCTTCTATCTCCTCCAGTTATGGTAGCCACTGGCAATGAAAGCCTCGTGCCTTTGTGGGGATTTTGCCTCCTCTGTGAGAAGATAACCTCGTGGTCAGACCCACAGCTGTGTGTTTGTGATCAGGGGGAAAGAGTTCTCACCAACTTTGATGAACATTGCTTTGTGTTTCCTACCATGCAGCCCCAAGAGTTAAGAAGCAAGTTCTGGAAGAAGTGATGTCCCATCAGTAATCACTCATTATGGCATAGAGAACAAAGGGAGCTGGATGATTTTCCCTTGATGTGGACACTTTCTCTCTAGGATTTTTGGTGGCACCCTTGTTGAAGGTCAGACAGACCCCTGCACTGCATTGCTGATGCTGTGAGCAGCACCGTGAGGAGCAGGTGAGTTTGCTGTACCAGGAGTGCAACTGTAAAGAATTTCAAATCAATATAGGTCTAATCTAAGTTGAACTGAGCTTTAGGGATTAATTAAATCTTAATTACAGATCAAACCACACAGCCACAGTTATTTCTAAATTCAGAGGATGAGCATTCATGCGAGTGCTGGAAACTAAATATCACCTTTTTGCATTACTGTTATTAAACATTGCACATTCATAACCTTTTCAGTTGTAAATTTTTAATGTGTGTAGTTATACTTTTAATTAAGACAAACTCTTAGGGACACATTCTACTACTGTTATTTACCTTGGGCCCTTTTCCATCAGGAGTTCTCTTAACTTCAGTGGGCTGGTTTGTGTGATAAAGGCACTATTAATTTATATTTATTTTTGGAAGAGTGCATAGCATGTTAGGCCATATATTCAACAAGGGAACAATTGCATCCAAAATAACTCGAAATGTAGGACTGACAGGCAAGAAGACACAAACTAAAAGAGAAGAAAGAGTGATACAGGAAAAGGATGGAAAAGCAAGGTGGTAAAATTTATGGCTAACATCACTCCTGTGTCCACAATAGGCAATAAAGAATTTCTGAAGGTCATAACTGAAATAGGCAAGTGGACAGTGTGAAAGCACATGACAAGTCAGTATTAGCAGCCCTATTTTGTGGGCTTAGCTGTGGATCAAGGTCTTACTTTGTTAGGCACCACATAAACCCACATCAAGGTGAGAGACCTTGCCCTGCTATCCTTCAGTTAAACTACTGCTGTGGGATGGAAAATAATCCATATACAAGGGGTAGCAAGGAATATGAGAATGCTTATCAGTTGCAGATGCAGCACTATCATGAGACTGCTGCAGTGATAGATGGCAGGGTAATTTAAAGGGACTTCAAAAGGTTTACAAAAACTTCTACCAAGCACAAAGATTTTAATTAGGGGAAAAAAAATCCTGAGTTTTGTTAACTTATACCTGTCCTCTGTGGGGGCTAGTGAATGTTTACCTCTGCAGCCACTAATTTCAGGTGCCTCCTCCACCCTGGAGGGCCTGAACTGCTGGCAGCAATGGGAGGAGGTTTGCAGCTTCCTAGCTGGAGTATTGCATTGGAAGTATGAGCTCAGAGGGGGAATGCCCTTGCAAAAAGCTTTAGAAACAATGAATTATCTTAGTAACAGCACTGACCAACAGGAAATATCTCTGACTCATTATTGTACCCTTCTCACTTGAGTTTTCAGCTCGGGTGCAGCTTCTGTCAAACAGGCAAACAAAAGGTTAGGATGTGTAAGAAATGGGATGGAGTAAATTTCAGTGTGGTATAAAACCAAGGCTTCTCTCTCATCTGGAATGCTATAAGTCACTGCCAAGGGAATTAAAGGATGTTCAGATAAGGATGACAAGAATAATTTGAGACTTGGGGGGGAAAAAAATCTTATATGGAGAGAGATTGAAAAGATAAGTGGTGTTTACTGTGGAAGGGAGCTAAATAGAAGGGCTGTGATAAAAGCTCCTGCTGTCAGGCCTGTGGCAAGGGAAAGAGGGGGAGTGGTGAGAGGAAGCCAGGAGGTGTGAAAGTGGCTGAGGCTGCAGGCAGAGGGGCTGCTGAGCCCACTGGGAAGGCATCAGGCAGTGATGGGAGAGCTGGGAGGATCAGGAAGGAGCCAGAAATCCTGCTGGGCTGGAGGATTGTGAGGGTTCCAAAGGGAAGGGAGCTCATGTTCAGGGTTTATTTTGCATAGTGAAAAAAAAAAAAAAAAGAGTAGAAGGCAGGAAATTCAAGATTAAATGTCACCATGGAAAATGTGGCGAGTTTGTGAAGTTCAGTTCCACCAGGTGTTGTAGTGGTCAAGGTCTCAAGAGATTTAAGGAGGGATTGACCATCCCTGTGAAGGGTTAAAACCCACAGTGAACATGAACAGACTATTTGAGTATTTGGCCACCAGTGAGTGCCACCAGCCTTACTCCAAACAAGAGTTAAGCATTTCCTCTCCATCTCATTCAGAAAACCATTTCAACAGGAGGCCAAATTAAGTTTATCCAGAAGCATTTAATTTAGCTTCAGTAAGACAGTTATCCTATATTAGATAAATACCCACTGGATTTTAAGAGCATATTTATTTGAAGATTAACTTCAAGGCAGAGTTGTTTATCCAGTGGAACAACTGGGTTAATGAGGTGAAAACTGAAGCACCTATCCTATTCTTCTACAACTGATGGCCAAGCTTTGATACTTCCATATTTTCATTTATCCTAAGACACTTCCTTGTGCTTCTCCTGCTCCTCCTGTCCAAGCAAAGCTGCTGACCTCAGTCTGTCCACCTTCAGAACAGGGAACTCAGTTGAAAATGGGTCAATAGGGTCAATGATGTTAAAGAAGTCTTTGGGACACAGTGTGGGGTCTTTTGTTCCCCTTCTTGCCCTAATCCCAGGACCCATCTCTTCCCATTGTTCTGCAGACTTCAAATCATTATTCTTCAGCTTCTTCCAAAACTTCATTCTTTGTTTTGCAGTAGGTTTGTATCTATTTGTCCAATAATGCTCCTCAAGGCAAATTCTTTCAGGTAGACACAAGAAGCATCTTCAGTTCCCAGGAGGTATCTGTCCAGTGCCATCAGAAATGGTCAAACTTCTCCCAGCTGCTGCTACAGAGGAGCACAAGTAGATTTTATATGGTACTGACTTGCCCCAAGTGTCCTGAATATCCGTACATCTATTTACCACATACCTATTTTAACAAACAAATCAGGCATTTTTGTGATTAATTAGATGCTTTGTCCTTCATTTGGGGATATGAGAAACAGAATTTGGGATGTAAAAGCATCATGGATGTAAACTTAGACTTTCAAAGCAGAGGAATCAGGTTTCAGGTCCTGTTGATTTTTCAGCATATTCTCTGAATTGGTTTGAAAATACCAGCCTTGTTCCTTGCAAGTAGCAGAACTACACAGCATCAACAGCATCCCAAACTGGCCATGATAGCCTTGCCTGAGCCACCTTAAAGAGCTGCTTTAATCACAAGAGAAGCAAAATGATCACCTCTACAAATCAGTGACAAGGAAATCAAAATCTCCAACCTGCCTCTAATCAGGGAAACATGAGGGGTTTGTTGCTGTTTTTACAGAAAGGACAACAGATATTCCAGACCAAAGATGTGCAGCAGACTAGTCCTTGTGGGCATTAGTAAAATGGATCTAACTTCAAATTTGGTGCCAGTTTGACTGGAGTTTTCATCATCATTCTCCATCCACCAAAACCTCTCATTTTTTATGCAGGAGCACATAAAAAATGATTATTTTAGTTGGTAAACCCCGAAATAAGCAGTAGACTATGAGAAGGGCAAGGAATTGGCTTGGGAAGATATGAATCAGTTGAGTGGAACAGAGACTTTAGGGGACAAAAGATAGAGATAGATCTTGGCACCAAAGGTGGAAGGGAGGGACAGAAATGTGCTGGTGACACCAAGCTGAGAGGCATTATCAGTCCTGAAGGGGCTCCAGATATCCTACAGCAATGTCTGGATGACCTCACAGATTAAAATAGCAGAAAGGGGGTGAAACTGTAAACCCTGGATGCACTTTGCTTTAATTCCTGACACAATCAAAGATCCTGTGGGTTTGCTGAGATTGCAGACCCAGATGCATGGGTTCATCATGAGACGTCTGAGCTACCAACATCCCACCACATCATGTCAGGCTCACACAAGCTTGTCATACATCAGGAGACATTTCTAGCCAAGCTGCAGCTGCATTAATGCCTCTGTACATGTGGCTGGTGCAGCCTCCTGTGGAACAGTGTGCACAATTCTCATCCCTGGTGTTCAAATCTGATGGATTCAGGTGGAGATAGAAGGACCACTGACCAGGAGAACATCAAACTGCTCTGCAAGGTGTGACTCCTCCTGCCTGGGAAAGACAGATGTACATAATGATGGCACACAGGCCCATCAGGAAGGTAAACATTGAGGGGGAATAGACCTGATAGCCTGAAGGACAACACTATCAGGAGAGCAAACAAGAATGAATTGTCCATAAATTTAAGGTAGTAAAGAGGAAGAAGAGTTCAAGCAGCAGAAGAGAGGCTGCAGCAGCATCTTCTCTAGGTCATGGAGGGAAACCCCTGGCTAGGTGTAATTTGGTGCATTTCTGAAAAGGAAAATATGGCATATCTGCTGCTGCAGGGATTTGTTTAAAAAAGGCAAAAAACAAAAACAAAGAACCCAAATAAAACAGAAGCACTTTTAACCATTAAATAGCTTTGTTTCTTTTTATTATCTTTTTTCAAGCCCACTGCCCACAATTATGTAGCATGGATGTGAAGGGGGAAGATAGAATCCTTCTAAGCAGAACTCCAGAACCGGCACTAAAAGTAATTCCTCACTGACATGCAGTTTTGCTGTTGTTTATCTATTCTTCATATACTGAACCCACTGAGATTCACTTCTCCACACATTCTACAAGTGCATAAATGCAGTCCCTGCTCCAAAATCTTACAGACCAAGGCAAGACCTTTTGTTGTGTTAAAAATGTTTTATGGTGTCTCAGAATGCTTTCCAGAGGGGGGGGGGAAAGCACTGAAATAAATTCAAAATATGCTTTTAGTGTTCAACTGCTATATTAAACTGGATTATAGAGTTGTATCATAGGAAATTATCCTTGTGCTTTAGTTCCATTAGCCTACTTTAAACATGGGTATTAAAAGCAGATACTTACTTAAATACCAAACTGTGCCTGGGTTATAATCTGTTTCTCTGATATCATAGATCATTTGCAAGCCACAAAGCCCCTTTGATCTCACAGAATGCTCAACTGAACTTAAAAGGAAATTAAATGCAGAGCTCAATTTTTCATTAAATTGTCACCCACTGTTTTAGAGTTATGACTCTTCAGATCTGTTTCTTCTAACAGGTGGACAAACAGAATGTTAATACTGTGGTATCTATGGAGTTATAAAATCTGCACAGGCCAGGAGATTTTCTAATTATTATCACTTCTTTATGAGCAAGGCTAAAGGCTCATTTTTCATCACAGTCCCAGGACACTCTAAAACATGACTGAAAATTCAGGTCTTAAAAAACTGGGGACAATTCTGTAACCTCCGATGGGTTAAGGCAATGAGAGATGAACACAATTTTATAAAATTGGAGCTACAAAGATCAGGGCTTATGTGCAATTAAAGAAGTCCTTAATGAGTGTTTTGCCTTCATAAAAAAATGGTAACAACTCCTTAAGACCTGCAATAGACTCTCAGGCTTTGTAAACCCAAAACTGCAGCACGAGTTCTTGCAGATGCTTTTGCCAAGGTAAAGAACCACCCTGAGAATTCCCAGCTCTCTGTGTCTCTCCCAGCAGGAATGCAGGAATTGTTTTGCACCCCAGGAGTGCATCTCCAGCTCCCCAAAATGCTGCCTGTGCATTCTGGGTGACAGCAGCCATAGGTGTGTGTGGCATGGCTCCATTGCTATCTCACCCTCAGAGAAAAGATCTATTGCAGCTCCACCAAAACAGCCCTTGCTCTCTTTAATCCAAACTGTGGCTGCTCCCCATTTTAGGCTGGAAAGCCTGTGGGTTTCAGGGTTGTGGTGGTAATAGATGGGCTCATCCAGCTGCCTATTAAGGGCACAGTCAGATGCTGCAGATACAGCCCAGACTGGCTGGAGGGGAGAGCAGATTGGAGCTCTGCCTGTTGAATGCAGCCATTAGTAACATCCATCCATCCTTTTGGACCAGGGTTGGGGTCAAGATGTGCTGAGAGCAAAGCAGAATTAAAAGCTGAGTTGGATCTGTGGATTACCTGCTCTCCAAACTCCAGTTTTTATATTCTAGAAAGATGCTGGTGAAGGGGAATGGCTGCAATGAACGAGGCTGCTCTCTGGAGCACTTTGTCTAAATTAGGCAAATTTCTCTGCTTCTCATTTCTTTGTTTGCAGTTGGACTTTGCTTTAAACTAAGATTTTTGAAAAAATTAATTTCTAACTGCAGCAGTCTTTAAATTGGAGGAATTTGGGGTGTATTCTGCCAGCTCCAGAAAGACCCGTTCTTGGAAATCTGGAGTTTCATGCAGTTTTGGATAAACCTCACTCAGAGATTTCAGAAAAATTTCTGATTTGAGAACTTGGCTGAACATTTGTTTGTTTACACAGGCATCCCCCTTTCCCAGGAAATGGGTTCAGATCTAACATCCTCATCTGTGCACAGCCTGGCTGGCTCCTGGGCTGGCAGGAGCAGCACTGTGAGCTGTGCTTACTGCTTTGGTACCAGAACCATGAAGTGAAGGGCAGGAGATGTTTTCAAACAGTGCAAGGGAAGAAATGGCCTAGGTGTGGAGACAGACACCCCTTTCCATCCTGAATTTCAGTGAAACACTGAAAGCACAGCTGTTATTTCCCAGAAGAAGACTTTGAAAATACCAGACAGATGCCTTTATTAGAGGAATCCAGGCAATGCTGGTACAATAAAAACTGAAGGCAACAATTTCCTCTGAGCCAGGGAGAGAGAAGAGCTCTTTGTGTGTCCTCTTTACACAGAGAGTGTGGCAGGAGCAGTATTTTAGGATGCTTTGGTAAAATTAGGATGAAGGTGTATGAATTCCATGTCCAAGGCCTGTTGGGAAGCACTGTTAGCTGGGTATCACAAAAGATTCCAATTGAAGACTGTCAGCCCAGGATGGTTTTAGCTGAACCCTGGAGAAAGTAGAAGCTTCAACTAGAGCCTAGTGGAAAAAAAATCTCATAAAGTTGCCTTTTCCAGATATATATCTGCAAGACTGCAGCTGTATTGGAAAAAGATTCCAAACCAAAGGGTTGTGAGTGGATCACCTCTGAGAAATATCCTCTCCCCTTGGCACAGGACACTTGCTCCACATTCTCATGTTTGACAGGGTGAGAGGACAGAGCAAGAAGCTGCACCAGGGGAGATTCAGGTTGGATTTGAGGAGAAATTCCTTCTTGGTGAGGGTTGTTAAACATTGGAATGGGCTGCCCAGGGAAGTGGTGGAGTGACATCCCTGGGGCTGTTTGGGGAATGGCTGGACAGGGTGGTGGTGTTGACACAGTGGTGGTCAGGCAAAAGTTGTAGTCAATGGTCTCAGAGGTCTTTTCCCAACCTGATTCTGTGGCACCTGAGTGAGAGCAATTCTACTGACATAGACTTAGTTGATCCTGATGGATTTCTTTATCTGATTGGCTTGGAAATCCTTCCTTAATTAGCAAACCAGTGTTAAAGGAATAGCTCCAAAGCCCTTTGGAGTTTCCTAGGGCTGGGATCAGGCTCCAGGTGACTTTATCCTCCAGCAGGGGTGAAGATGTGGCAAGACTGAAGGTTTCTGTTGAGGTCTCTCTCCTGACCACCCATGGAGGTTTATCAGGACATGCACTTGCTCTCACACAAAGAGAACATCGCTGGCTGAAGGCAGCTTTAGGAGGAGGCTGGAAAAAGCAGCAGATGGGTGCAAACATAGCAGAAGAGCGTGAGGTAACAGCAAGATGGTAAAAACTAACTTGAAAATACCTTGGACCTCTTGACCCCTGCCCTATCCTCACTGTGCTGGTTTTGCTATTGTGTGAAAACAAAGAGAAGGGAGGAGCAGCTTTAAAAATGGCTCTGCAGTCAAAGGACTTTTTAAAAATTCTTTATGCTTAGTCTCCATTAGTCTTGTAATGTTAATTAGGTCTCATGGGAAGTAAATGTTCTTCCAGGACAGCCTTTTGCTGGGAGGCAGAGTATGGATGGGAGGGAAGATGATCATTCTTTGGGAACAGAAGGCTCAGAAATCCCCTCTGATAATTGACAGGTCTGGCTTACTCACAGATTCCCCAGGATAATACCTGTCTATCTGGGTGGGAGAACCAAAACCCAGGAAATCCAGTAGGGAGGGTTAAGTCTTTCTTAGTGTGGTCATAATTTTTAAACTTCAAAACATTCTGTGCCCTTACGAACCAGCCCTCACCCTCTGGAGGCTGGAGGACTCCTCAGGGCTCTGGCTAACATCAGTGATGTGTTTGATATGTTTAATGCTTAGATTCAACCAGCTAACTGCCAATAATTAGCATTTAGCCATAAATACTTGGCCTCTGAAAGTGAGAGGAGATACTCACCACACAGAGATGCTGCAAGCTTCCAAGGGTGTCTCATTCAAGTGCTCCAAACCCTGTGAGAGCAGGAAAGGGGATCATCATTTGCACCGTGGTGCTTGGAGAGTCTTGATCCATTTAAGCATTTCCAAGGAACAGTTTACTGACAAATCAAAAACTTTACACCATTTTCCAGGCTCAGGAGAGCAAAGCTACCAGTGTATTATATGACTACACCACATAACCTCCAGACAGAATACGTTATTAGGATTTATTAGGTTATAATCCTTTTTTGATTAAAAATTATAAATCAGCTCATGTTTGATGTTAACCCATAAATGCATAGCACATGTCAAGCAAAGCACAGTGTGCATGGCCCCTGGGCATGCATGGAGGAGCCCACCCTGCTGCTCCCATCACTTTGTACAAAATAATGGACCCCATCAAAGGATTGTGGCCCTGGCTGTGTCGGGGCCGTGGCTTTCAAGAGGTTAACTCTCAGAGATGGAGCATGCTAAGCTGTTGCTGTTTGATTTATTGTCCCTCCTTTGTTCTTGTTTCTCCTTGAAACATAAAAGCTCGTAGCCCACAGACTCTTGACATTTCTTTTAAATGCTCTTGTCATTCAGAAATTGCCACAGCCATCTCCTGCAACTTTGCACTTAGTGTTCCCAGCCTGCTTGGGGTTACTCGCAGGAGTTGAAAAGGAAATATGAACAGATTACAGGGCTCAATCCAGCAAGGTGGAGAGTGTCCTAGCTCTGAACCAATAACACACTCAACCATTTACTTAACTCCCAGGGTGGGAGCAGTCTGACAGAGCTGTGTGGCCAATAACTGAGTTATAATCTTGAGAATGAGGTGCTGAAGAAGTCTGCAAAATAAACAGCCACAGGTGATGCACTGTGGGATTTTTACAGGATCTTGTTGATTCAGGAGCACAACTAGGACTTGCACTGGAACCTGCCACTTCAATGTTTTTTTTAAAAATCTCCCTCTCTGGGATCTGAGGTCAAGTCCCTGGGCATTTTGAATCCTCAGCACAGCTGATTTTCTGCCTGACCATACCAGGCAGGATTCCCTTTCTCTAGCAGATGCTCATGAGAGATGAAGAGCCTTTCAATGTCCAAGACAGTTCAAAAGACGTGGAACTTATTATCCCAGACCCAAACAACTCCATGGGAAACTCATTCTCTGGACTGTGTAGGGTTTTATTCTAGGGTTTTATTCTCTGGGCTCTATTCTAGGGTTAAGAATAAAAGTTGAAGGCTAAGAATAAAAATGAGGAAAGTCCTGAACTTTTGGGAAAGCACATTTATTTGGTTCAAGGGAATGCATGAATGCCAGGCTGCCAGGTGGAGTTTTCATACCTTCATGAGCCATTGAACTAACAGCACATTTTTTAGCTCTATTAGCTACATATATAAACAGTGATGGAGCTAATCAGCTTGTAAATGGCTCCACACTCAATATGAAAACAAGCATAACATCACCTTCAATATTGCCTTCTGAAAGGCAGCCAAAGAGAGGGAATACACTTATCAGGACCTTCACCTATCTCCTGACCTGAATGGTGCTGTTGATCCCAGATAGTGCTTGGGTTTGGTTTCTCACCTGTTGTGAACCTTATCCTCCAACCAGTGCTCATAGCCAGAATAAATTCTCTGTGATCCAATCCCTGTAAACAGGATTTTTTCTTTCCTTGGATATTTTCTTCTTTAATCCTTTTTGGTGAAATCTATGTTTTTTACTTATGCTTCCAAAATCCTTTTCTTTCAGCCCTGAGCTACAGGGAGCTTGAATACTACCCAGCTCTTTCAAGGACACATGGAACTTGGATTTCCTCGTTGAATCCTGACAGTTCACTGGGCAAGAAAGTTGGGGTTTTTTTGGTCTCACACACACTGTAAATTGGAATCAAAATCTAAAGTTTTTCAAGTTGTTTGTGGCTGACTGTAGCAGTTGTTTCAATGAAAAGGTCATGGAAATAAAGCAAGGCAGGGTGGTGGAGATGGGGGTTTCAGACGTCTCCTGACAGATGAAAGGAATGGACCCAAATTCTCAACTTCTTGGGTAGGTGATTGAAGACAAGATATCCATGGGAAATGAGATCCCTTCTCTTTTCACTCTAGCCTGCCAAATGCAGTGCTGCTGGAGTCCAGAGAGCACCTTGCTCTGCCTGGGGCATCCTGGATGTTTGAGGCAGACACCAGAGTGGCTGTGGGGCCTGGATGGGCCTGGTGAAGGCAGGGACATCCCCAGGCACAGGGACAGCAAAACTTCAGGGAGCCTCCTCAGATGGAAATAGAGACACAGCTTTCCAGGCACCTGAGTGGGATGACTTCATTTTTCCCCCACATCTCTCCTTTCAGCTGAGGTGTTTATATTCTGTGCAACTGCTGTTTTAAATGCTGCCCTTTGGGAGTTGCAAGATGAGGCCTCAGGTGGCTTCAGGAAGCTGTGCTGCACTGAAGAGGAACAGCTTTGTCTCAGAAATCCTGGGCGAGATAGCAGCAAGTGACATGAAAGGTGTGTTTTTGCATGATGTACATTGGAAAAGCCAATTACATGTAATTAATGTTGGTTAAATGCTTTGAAGATGAAAAGCTTTCACAGAAGTGTGATTAACATCTCTTCTGTCAAAATGATTGTCTTTCTAATGTTTTAAGAAGCTTAATAGCATGCTTCAGCTTTTCAGTGTTTATCTCTGAGATGTGATGACCCCATGGAAGGCATTCACTGGAAAACTGTATAAGAAAGGCCTTCAGTGGGAGTTGATGTTGGCCACAAACCAAAAGTAAAGACTGAGACACTGTGGGATAGAGATGATTTGTCTGCTGACAGCACAGTATCTTACAAAAGCCCCTAAGCACCAAACCAGTTGAACAATGCTAAAGTATTGTTTGATACAAGTCTTTAATTGTGAGTGCTCACTGCAGGGTGGCTCAAGAAGCCTATGGAAATGTGGTATGTGTCTGCTGGATCCAGGTTTAGAAGGTGCATGGTGAGGTGTACCAGCTTAGGCTTAGCAGGAGCCCAGCACCTGGCACAGGACTGGACTGACACCTCCAAGTGGGAATTTTGCCACTGGTTTCAATGAGCACAAGAAATGACTACACTTTAGCATGCACAAAAATGAGCTGTTATTGACTGAGGGCTTATAGTCAATTGTCTTGCTCTGACATATTTTGCTTTCCACTGTAAATAAAGCGGATTTGATTGTAAACCACTCACAGGAGATGAGGAACAATAAGGGCCGGACACTGAACAATGGGAGTTCTGAGAAAATAGTGATTTCATACATTGGCAGTTGTTGTTATTTTCTGAAAATGAGTGCAGATGTTTCACTGTGCTGAAATCACTCAAGACTTTTATGGCAGAAAGCGGACATGGAGTAAATAAACTGGTGACAGGTACAGTGAAAGGCATTCCATTTATTTGCCTGTTCAGAGCTAGTTTATTCAAGGGAGCCCTGTTTTGCCTACCACAGGAAAATCCTTGAGACCATCTTGAAGGAGTATCTTCCTGGATAAAAAGAATTGTGCAAGATCATTTAGCAAGCCCAAGACTTCTGGATGACAATCAAATAGATTACTTAATTCTTTGTAAGCAATTCCTAGAAAGCATCAGTTCCCAGAAAAGACATATAGGAAGGCTCTGCTCTTTATTTGTTGGTGGGGAAATGCAAAAGCTGTGCCTCCAGTAGTGAAGTGAATGTCATTTGAATTGCTCTCAGTGCTGTTGCCAATAAAAGTGTCCAGATATCACTGCACATCAGCCAGATAAAGGTCAGGAGGTTTGCAGGCCTGTAGGAATGGCACAGATCACACACTTTCCCTCTGTCAGTAAGTCATCTTCCTGTATGAGCTGATCCATTTGGGTTAGGATCAGTGCCTGCAGCTTTTCCCTGTTCAGTGAAGGTGCCAGACAGCTCTGAGTTGCTGGGACCACCTTCTCCTCCAATGCCCAGCCAACCTGGCCAAACCCTGACCTGCACTGCCCTAGCAGGGGTGGGTGAGGGGGTGCTGGGGTCAGCATTGGGATCACTTCCAGCCATGTTTGCTCTAGAGCACCAGGACAGTGCCACTCTGAGCTGTCATCCTTCAGGACAACTCTCTTGAGGCTCAACAGATCCCTCAGAAACACCAGAGATGGGAGATGGGGGCACTCAGCACTCACAAGGTGCCACCTCTACCCAGTGCAAGGTCTGCGCTTACCTTGTCAGTCTGCACAAGGAAACCAGGTGAGACAACTTCAGCTTCACTTGGACCTGCTAGCACATGGGGAAGATAGATGAGGTCCTCAGGGCTTATCTCTGTCAGTTCACATTTATTAATACTTTGTCTGCTTTGCCTTCACTGGGATTTTACCTCGGGTTAATTACTCTGTGTTTGCTAATGCCATGTAGGAACATGCATTTTTTTCCCCTGGTGAAGAGTAGCTGGATCCAGAGAAGAGCTCACTTTTCCTGCAGCCTGCTGGGGCACTGGCATCTTTGTCTTTCAAAAATGCAGCTGGAAAAAATACCAAAACCATTCCCACAAGACTGTTGCTGCAGGTGAGGATTTACACCCTTTCCCACCAGGCACCAAGCAATGCTGCCAGAAACCAGCTTTGTACCTATTCCTGGTATTTGTTGTGATCAGACTTTCAAGTCCGCCACCTTTCCTAAACACAAAATACCCAGAAAAAGAGTTTTAGAGAGAGAACTGCAACAACCTTTTGCTCAAAGGGAGGCATATGATAACTTCAGCTTTTGTTCTTGTGACCTGCCCTTGCAAGACTGAAAAGAGCTTTGAGCACACACCCAGGAGAGCAGGAAATCTCTCCTAGGGATCACTTGTAAAATAGCCCAGTTTGAAAAACACGCTGCAGAAAGAATGAAGCCTGACTGCAAAGGAGAGCAGGGGTTTTTTTTTTCCACCCGTGAATAGGATTTCGAACTAGCAGCCAAAGTGAATCATTATACATCCTTGCCATATGCCACTTTCAATCAATAAGGCCTTATGCTCTGCTAACAATCATCCTAAACCATACCTATTAACAAGAATGCACATTTCTGTAGTAATATTCCATGCACGTCACGGCACACAGACTGCAAACAGTCGAGAGCGATCACAGCCGAAGGGAGATGGCTTCTGCAGCGACGTGTGGACACACACCACACTGTAGAGGCTGCCACTCTTACACGTGTGGGCTGCCTTTCTGCTTCTTGCTCCTACAGTCTGATGGGTTTTTTTCCCTCTCTTTTAGGCACAGTCTTGCTTGATGACCCAGACAGTTTATTTCCTGATGGCCCAAGACTTCCTCAGAGGCAGCTGATGCTCCGAGGATAAGGAGCAGCAATAGCCACGGGGAATGAGATATGGCTACAACAGGACCCCTTCAGCTGGGAGGGAGATGACAGCAGTCATCATGAACTAATCATCACTATGATGAGTTCACACCTGAACTAATGTCTCCTTGAAGATATGAAAACCTGCTATAAAAGAGACACAGGTTTTGAGGCATGTGGTGCAGGAGCAGGAAGCACAGACTTCATTTCCTACTGAAAACAGGCCACCTCTGTTTCCCACCTGCTGTTCCTTTTATCTACTTAACATTGCAAACTCCTCCTGAGGGGTGTCGTTTCTCCAAAAATACTGAGCTTGCTGAAGCAGTTATTGACTGAAATGCCACAGTTTGAGCTGCTCAGAGCAGCCAAGTCCTACACCACGGGCACGAAGCTCTCGGCAGGTTCACCCCAATAAAGCAGAAATCTGCTCTTGGACAGCTCACCTGTGGCTCCCTTGTGAGTCAGTGGAGAGCCAGTCAATACTGTTGATGGAATCCACAGTGATTCATCTCTTCTTAAAGGAGATGCTTAAAACAGGGCAGATGAATGGCATAATAAACCCACCTATTTTTCCTTAATAAACCTTCCTATTTCTGCCTGGAAAGGCCAGAGTGGCAGCTCCCACTTAGAAGTCTACTCTGTAAATACCTAAAATGAGTTGAGCCTCATCCCAGCACCACCCTTAAGACCTTCCCCTGTCCTGGTGCTAGTGGTGCACCTCAGGCATTTGGTGGTGCAGCTCTCCCTGTACCCCACAGTGCACAGAGATTTACAACTGGACTGAAGGATGCCACAGCAGAGAGGCAGTCCCAAAACTCAGGTAGCTGAAACATTCCATTCCTGAGCAGCAGCTCACAGCCCCTGTGTGCCCCTAAGACCCCAAACCCAGCAGTTCCATGCATGGGCCAGAGGCACAGCACTGTGTGAGCTGAGATTGCACTGCCCTGGGTGTCTGGCAGTGCAGAGCTCCACAGACTACACAAAGTCCTGATGACTAAGGATCCTGGATTAGTAGAGCATGTACAGCATGGCAAGTCCTAATACAATGGCCTGCAGATGCTACCACATCAAAACCTCTTCTATCTTCCTCTCAAAGAGTGAATTTAAGCTTTGCTTATTCCTGTTTTACATCTAAAGGCTGTTTCTGCAACCCTTGTGTAGATAATTGCACATGGTCTGTGTGACACTCTTCCTGAGTAATCCTTGTGTGTTTTGCAAAGTTCAACATAAAAACTCGTTGCTAATCAAAAGGCATTGCTGCTCAGATGTTTCTGTGTTGCAAAATAACCCCCAGTCAATCAAAATTCCCTCTAACAACCCCTGTCTATGCTTTTTGCTTTGCAACCTTGTTTCCTGTGGGCGAAGGTGGGAAAGGAGAACGTGCTTACCTTTGAGCACAAAACCGTGCAACTTTGGGTGTCAGTGATACCTCCAAAATATAGCTGAGGTGCTGCAGTGCCCTTTTTCTGGCTTTCTGTGCGAGTACACATCCATAATAGCATCATCTCTCGCAAAGATTTCACTCTGTTTCTTCCTCTCTGACAGGGTGTGCACCCATTGAATGGAGAAATCCTTATTCCTCAGACAATTCCTCTTGCCTCTGATGAAGATTTGCAATCCTGGAAGGACTGTGCAAAGTTAATTCTACTAATTTATCATAATTGCAGATATTATTGATGTACAAGCTACTGAATCCAGAACCAGAGAACTGCTGCAGTCTATTTTATGTGTGAAATAAATATATAAGATCAAAGGGTTACTTCTGGTTTGAAAAGGCATTAATACTACTAATATCAGCTGGAGTAATTAAAACACATGTTTTTGTTTAAGTGTTTAGTGTAGGTGTTGACCCTATGGCATGCTCTCCTTTATTAACATCCAGAGACATTCTGACATTGGTGGGATTCAGGAATGAGAGCAGACAAGGTGGGCAGAAAATAAGTTTTGCCATCACAAGAATGCTCGAGACCATGAGAAATGAAATCTCAAAATCACAATCCTAGAATCCAATCCTCACAATGACAAAAGCAGACAGTCCCATCCAGTTTCACATCTGGAAAACGCAGACAAACACCTCCTAACACGTTTGGCAAGATGCAAGATGCACCTGCTCCCAAAGCAGCCCTGCATCCCTGGGGAGCCTGTGGATGCATGGATGGGGCTGTACCTTCCTGATGGTGAAGCCAGCAGATGGCTTTATTGGGGCTGAGCACACAAGGTGGTGGATATTTCACGCAGAAAGTCTCCTTTTACATGACTTCAAAGGGCTGTGGCTGGTTGAAAGATGGATCCTGATTTGCCTGTGGTGATTTCTTCCTGTGGTGTCCCCAGGCAGAACACGTTGAGAATTTGGGACTCAGGGCTGTTTCCTCACACGTGTCCTCTCTGAGTTTGCAGGAAGGATGGCACCCATTGAGATAATGATTCCATTTCTCCACACTACACCCAGAAATGCAGCTCCATCTCCTACACTGGTGTGTTTTTTCAGGCACAGCCAGTGGGGCTGACTCTGCTCGGACATGTTGGGCTGCATTCAGAGCAAACCCAACTCCCTGAGCTGCAGCTAATTAGAAGGTGCTTCCAGTGGGTGAGAGGAGAGCTGCAGCCAAACTGTGATCTCCAGCCAGAATTCAAATCCACACCCCCAGTAGCAGCACAAGTGTGTTTCCTACCCTGTGCAGACATTTATTAGTATTTGTGCGTTGTCAGTTTTTTCATCCCTCATTTCCCTTTGCGTAGTTTTATTTTTCCCAGTCAATAAGAGTGATTTTATTGCTCTTAATTAGATTTCTTTAGGTTTCCCATAGTAATTAATGCACTTTTCTTCGGCAGTATAACCTATTACAGTAGTTAAAATATTAAATCATGACTGTTGCCAGATGCAAGGGAACAAGAAACATAGGTTTTGCAATAACCACTTTGTCTTCATCTTTTGAATTAGTTTGCAGCCTGCTTTACATTTTTGGATAAGTAATAAGATTTGTTGATTTGAATGAAGAACAATATAAAAATAAATTGCATTGTACTTTTAATTACATAGTCTTAATTTTTTGTGGTGACACTCCAGGCTCTCATATAATGTTGTTTAATGTTTACATCTCTTTATTGATTTGGTAATTTAGATACAGAAATGTGGCTTAATTTGCAAATTTCTACATTCATCGTTGGGGTGCTGTGCTCATTAAGGAATCTGGGGAATTGTGCATTTTCCCCGATCTCCTTCACACACACACAGGGATGGATGTTCTGTATTTGTCTTTTACTTAGGCAGCAAAGCTCAGCTATGGAGACGCTTTTCTTCTCCACCGTTGTGTGACCATGAACTTCCCTGTGTCTGACATTCCAAACCAGGGGGCTCAGTGTGAAATGGGCTGCTGTTGAGTTTGTGAGGGTCCCCAGGATGAGGTGAGAGATGAAGAATCTGACTCCATGTTCTCAGAAGGCTGATTATTATATTATATTATATTATATTATATTATATTATATTATATTATATTATATTATATTATATTATATTATATTATATTATATTATATTATATTANTATTATATTATATTATATTATATTATATTATATTATATTATATTATATTATATTATATTATATTATATTATATTATATTATATTATATTAATGCCATACTAAAACTATACTAGAGAAGAAGGATACAGACAGAAGGCTTAGCAAGAATGAATAGTAAAAAACTCCTGACTGACTCCTCATAGTCCGACACAGCTGGCTGTGATTGGTCACTAAGTAAAAACAATTCACATGAAACCAATCAAACATTCACCTGTAGGTAAACGATTTCCAAACCACATTCCAAAGCAGCAAACACAGGAGAAGCAATCAGATAATTATTGTCTTCATTCTTTTCTGAGGCATCTCAGCTTCCAAGGAGAAGAAATCCTGGCAAAGGGATTTATCAGAAAATATGACAGGCTGCTGCTCCAGGGAACCTTTTTTGGGGACTGCTTGGCTGTGGTTGAAGATAGTGGTGGGCAGGGGCCACATCAGCCTTGGAGGGCTTTGTTCTTCACCTGGGAAGTCAAATACCCTCACTGAGAGAGAACTGAGAGAGATTTGAGTCCATGGTGGAAGCAGATCTTGCAAAACTCCACAGAAAATGTGAGATGAGCCCCAACATCTCTAAGCCACCTCTTCCCTCACCCCAGCTCTCCTGGGATGGACCCTTGGACATCTCTCCATCCTACCCCAGGCATCAACAGCCCCTTGGTTAAATTCCCCCTCTACAAACTGTTTTTGAGGTGGTGGTAGTTTAGGTTTAGTGCTCCAAGCATACTTCAGAGTTTCTACAAGTTAAGCAAAATTAAACTTTTCTTTCAAAAATCCATCACCACAAAACTGTTTTCCCCTCCTCTTCATTAATGATTTACTTTCTGTGGAATAAATGCACCAACTGAGGACAGAATCATTATTAAAATCTCAGTTAACAACACAATATTACTTTGGTCCTTTCATTTCCTCCGCTATTATAAAATTCAAGATTCATTTCACTTATTAATATTAGCAATCTATTTTTTTTTAATTTTGATCAGGCACAAATTAAAAGGGGAATGATATTATGGACTGGCACTAGAACTTATTCCTTCTTATTCTTTTTTGTAAAATTTGCTTTTCCCTTTCCTTCAGTTCTTTCTTTGCATCTAATACTGCCTTCTTTTGCATTGATATTCTGGGTGACTTCATTTGATACCTGGCATTACTCCCATGGAAGTCAACTGGAAGGGGCCAAGAGAATTTATTGGAAGGTGATTAAAATAAGGGTCAGTGAAAAGAAAGGCTTGCACATGGGTTTGGGAGCAAGGGAGCTGGACTCTGGTCTGTGCCCTGCCATGAAATTGCTCTGTGACTCTGTGCAAGTCATTTTATTTCTCCGTTCTGCAGTTTCCATGTGTTTAAAATAGGAACAGGAGTGTTTGCTGCTCATTGTTGAAGTCTCCCAGCAAATAAAATGTGATGTATCAGGGCTAACTGAGCAGGCAGGCACAGACCCTTCTCTCAGGAAAGCTGACAGTGAGGACAGGGCAGAACACAGACACAGTATTTTTTTGAGGGCTTACAAATTGCTCCTGCTCCTTTTATAACTGATCATTGTTGTTGGGCTCTAATGAGATTTCCCTTGTGCCTCTGTAACACTAAATATAACCTGTGATATTCCTCACGTGAGCATCTCCCTGTGAAAGAAAAGATGGATTTTCAATCCTTTAGAATAACCAGCTTCTCCAGTTATAGCACAGGCACTTCTCAGCTTGATTCTGTGCCCCCACAATCCTGGGAGCTGCACATCAGCTCAATATGCATTTGATTGCTCTTGCAATCCTCTTGATTACAAACAGGGGATTGCTATTGTGGCAGGACTTCCCAAACGCTGAAGAACTGAATTCCAATGATGTCAGTGGCAACTGGAAGAAATAGGAAAAAAACCCAGATGGATAAATCCCTTTAAGGGGATCACAGTACAATCAACAACATCTCAACCATCCCTGCAAGAGCTTTGTCTAAGAACTTCCTGCAGTGCCAGTTCCAGGAGAGCCTGTGGGAATATCCCTGAGCTGAACTATCCAAAACACTGGGAATTTTTCCTGACCTTTTACCCGAGCTGCTCCTGCTGCAGCTGAAGCCCATCATTCCCCTATTTGCAGAAGGTACAAGGGCACATTTTGCCATTCCTCTTTGCTTCAGCCTGGCAAGTATTTGGCAACTTGTTTTGTGTCAGCTCAGTCCCCTCTTCAGGCCACACATTTCTCTCTCTCAGCTTTACCTCAATGGCAAATGTTCTACACCTCCAGCCACTCTTCATGCACCTCTTTGGGTTTTTCCCAGCTAAGCCATAAGCTTAGAAGTGTGGAAATTGTCCTTGAGCCAGGACCATTGCCAAGTGAAATGGAGAGGTTATTCCATGTCTTCTGCAATGTGCCCCTCAGAGCAGGCATCCCAGGAGAGCTCCTGGATTTCTGCAGCACTGGGTTTGTGCTGTGCTCCCAAGCATCACAGTCCTGCATCCTTTTCCCCCATGGCAGAAGCCTGGCCAATTGCTCTTCATCTTGCATTTGAGAAATTGATTTTAACTCCCCCTGCCAGGAAGTGCAACATTTTAATTACTTCTGTGGATAAAGTCTGTTGTTCCCATTCTGATCTGGACTTAAGAGATAAGTAAAGCAAAGCCTATCAGAAATTCTGCAGAATCTTGAGCTGGAACCAGGATAGCAGAATACCCCAACCAGTACCACTGCCATATGTCCTTCACCCTTCTCATCCTTGCCTCAAACTATCCTTGTTTTTTTAAAAAAAATCTTCTTTCTCCCTCCATTTTTATTAAATTCTTTTCTCACCTGGTATTAGCAGCCACTTGCAAGCATCTGAACAAATGCAGGTGAATAATTAAGGGTCTGTGCACCATCCCACAGCATGGATAGGCCACAAGAATAGAAAACAGATTGTTTGCATTCTGCATTACTGATAATTTCCCAGCTGCCAGTGCCTGTTTCTCAACACAAATGAGTGGCAAAAATAAAGGACAATATCAATGGCCTTTGGGAGCAAGAGAGGACTGGATGCATAAAAGCCCTGAAAAGTCAAGACATAAAATGCATTCTTCCTTCCAAAGGGCCTAATCCCTATTTGGGGAGCACCAAGACACCTACAAATAGATAAAAACTTGAGGCTGGCTATAAAAATATTTCTGTTTCATTCGTCTGAAATCCACAGAGAGGCAATGCTGATGCCAAGAACCCATAATAATACCCTGGCATCACAACCTGCAGGGCTGTCTGCTCTCACTTGTGAATACATTTATCACTGATAACGTGCCAAAATGTCCAAGAGCTGAATCCTGGGAAGGAAAGAAAGTTCTCATAGGCATGTCTGGGTGCAGCAGGACTTTTTCTGCATCTGTACTGGCAGTGTGTCACTCTCACCTCCCTACAAAACTGATGGACCAGTTACTGGGATCTTAACAGAATGGTTTTTACACTTCATATTTGTTATGATACATGGAATGTCCTATGCAGAAAGTGCACTGACACAAGAGTTGGTAGGCAGGTAAAGAGGCAAGACCAAGGTGGAAGAACATGAAAGCCAGAAATGGCTTGGATGAGTCCATTAGAGAGCTCTTCAGCCTCCCAGGGACCTGCAGTGCAACTGGGAGGGATGGATGGATCCAGAGGAACCCCCCAGAGCTGAGGAGAGGATGACAGAGATGTTGGCATGGGGAGTCTAGGACTTCAGCAAGGAAATGTAGACCCTGAGATTTGGGTAAGCAGCCAAGGGATGGAGTGAGGGCCATGCTGCACAACCAGAAATACAAGGAAGGGACAAAAGAATTGGATTGTTTGGGTTTGGCAGGACGAAGAGAGACAATCTTTCCTTGTGAAAAAGCTGAAGAAGAGAGAAAAGGAGGAATTGTTTCCCAAGTGCTCAGTAAGGACCAAATTACATCAGGAAAGGCTGAGGTTACACAGGAGGAAAGAAGTTCTGCAGGTGAAACTCCTAATGCCCTGGGAGGCTGGAGCACTGCAGGACGAGGCTGGGTGAGCATTTACCAGAAATGCCATAGGCCAATTAACCACTGCCAAAGGGAGGAGGATGGGATGATAAAATGGATGGGATGATATGTGAAGATCCCTTCCTACATTATCTCCCTGCTTGCACGCTGCCAGGATGTGGGATGAGCCTTGTCCAGAAGGGTTACACCAGCATTTCCACACAAGACAGGCACTTTACACAGTGTAAAAGCCAACTCTGCTCTCAATAAAGGAAAAAAAGGAAAACTACCTTGTTATAATGTCCAATTCATTACTCAATACCATGTAACACAATAATGTTGCACTTTCAATCTTGGTGCATCTGCCTTGCTCTATTTATACTGTGGTCTTGAGTGTTTATCATCTCTTGCTAATGGCAATAGAGGATTTGCCACAAAAACTTAATTATTTGCCTTCTCTGAGAGGGTATTTTTCCTGATTAAAGCCTTCCTGAGAGCAAGGCAGGAAGCACTCATCCCCACCAGGCATTCTTATACCCTAACCACTGAAATCTGGGACAAAGGCCAATAATCTGGGACAAACTCTAAAAATACACCAAACACTCCAGGACATATTTTATTGGTCCTTCCACACATGCCTTGAGTGTGTCAGGAGGCACAAGGCCACAGGTAACAGTGAAAGTTAACCCTGCAGCGCAGTCCAGCTGGCAGCAGCAGGGATATGGATGATTTTCTTCAGCAAAGCCATTTCAAAGGGACATGGCACCTCTGCAAGAACTTTCCTGTTGTTAAATCTTAATTACAACCAGCTTAAAAAGCCTGAGTCGAGCTTTTTAAATAAAACAGAGGAATTTGAAAGATATTCTTCTGCCAACTGAGCACCTGGGGAGAGAGGAAGGCGAGGGAGGGAGAGATGACAGGCTTTGGCTCTAGGCTGCTGTAGCCACCATATGTGCTTTAAAAGACCTGCATTGCATTTCCAGGTAAAACACCAACACCTGAATGCTATGTGGGTGAATAACTCCCACCCTCTTTCACAGGGGATGGTGACTTAAGCAGAAAAGGTTGAGGGGCAGCCCGAGGGCTCTCCTCACCCTGCAGGTTCAAGGGCTGTTGTGTTCCCAGGCTCTTTTTCAGGTGCTGCAAAACCCCAGAGGTTCTGCTGGCAAACACCCAAAGGCACAAAGCTCTTCAGGCTGCCCTGACCTGGCTCAAACACTCTCCAAGCCCAGAGCAGGTTTCACACCTCGCCCTGCCCCAGGCAATGTCAGCAGCAAAGTGGAACGACCAGAGCACCTCAGCAGCCCCACACCTGCAGTGTCAC